CTTGAGTCCTTGGTGGCAGAGCTCGGCCTCGGCCTAATTACCTTGACGGGGAAGAAGAATAAGTCAAGTGAGCTAAGGCAATCGCCTCCCTATCCCTTTCGCTAAGGAAAGGGGCCCCGATTCCTCGGTAGCAAAGCTCAGTCTCAACCTAACTTCCTTAACTTAAATTCCTAAGCAAGTGCCTAAGTAAGAGATTGTGAGTTTTTTTACTACTTGTGACCTATCGAAGGGGGCATCAGTCCCTAGCACAAGAAAGAAAAATAAAAAAAAAGTAGGAACAAGATAGGCAAAAACTCAATCTATTTTTCATTCATTTCCTTTGCACTGTATGCCACTGTAAACTTTACAAAACTTGACCTCAGTTGGGGGAGAATAGACAAAAAAGAAACTCCTTGGAGAAGACCCTGGCCCCGCGTGAAGCATCTTTAGCCCTCGATGTCCATGTGCTCATCGGCTGCTTCAGGTTGTGCAGGCTACTCATCACTGACTTGGCCCTCGAATGGCTGCACCCCTCGGATGGGCACATTGCCTCAGTCGCCGGATTGTTCTCGTGTTGGACCCAGCAGGTTGATGTTGAAATCCAGTTGGAGTGCCAACACTTGGGCCTTCGTGTCTTTGATGTCCTCCAAGTACGAAGTGACACCGAATTGGGTCATCTCCTCTTTGTAGGCCTTGATGGTCTTCCACTCCTCGACAGCCTTAGTCGAGGCTTCTTGAGCCTTCTTCTCTGCCTCTTGTAGCTTCTCCTCGGCCTCCTTCAAAGAGGCCAGGGCAGCCCTCAATTTCTCCCTCTTGGCCAAGACCTCGGCCTCAATCTCCTTCCAGTGATCACGCTCCTCATGTGCTGTTGCAACTGATGCCTCTTGACCTGTCTACGCCTCGGCCAGCTGATGGTTCGGTTGGTTGATCTCTTCCTAGGAGGTCCTTATTTGCTGAAGAAGGACCTCCACCTTGTCGCACAGGCCAACGGCGGTGGAAGACGTCTGTAAGGCACAAGCGATCAGCAATTGAGAAAGCAAAGTAAAGAAGAAATTTGGCCAAGTATAAAGAAAAGAAGCCTCACTTCGGCCAACCGATCTAGCAAAGTGTCCCAAACCCCTTGGAGGGACACTTGGGACCAGGATTGCCCAGGGTGCTCAGAGTGTCGCCCTCCTGGACGCTCCATCTAGGGTGGAAGATTCTTCTTGCCACCAATAGCATTTCGTCATAGCGATCAAAAGAGTGGGGCCCCGACTGCCGCAAGCCCCTAGCGGTGCCCTTGGTTGGGCACTCTTTCATTACCAATCTCTTCCCCCTCAAAGGTTGGGGGGCCTCGGTGGGTCTCTTGGGTATGGGCACCTTTCTCCTCTCGGCCTCAATGGGCGCCTTCACCCGAGGCGATTGTCTCCTTCAGGGTAAGCCTCTTTGATGGCCCCTCGCCCGAGCCCCTCTTGGTGGACTTGGCCATCTACATGATGCGCTCTTTGATTCCGCCATCCATCTTTGCAATACACAAAGGGAAATGTTAGTATGGAGGCAAAGAAAAGAAGGAAGACGACATAGATAGTCGACAACAGGAGTGCCCATATTGAGGCAGGCGAGGCTGAGACCAACCTACACCAAGGCTTCCTCCGCTACCAAGGACTCGGCACGAATTGTCCCCATCAGCCAAATTCGTGTCACCACGTCAGATTCCTCGTCATTATTATATGGCCTTATCTTCTCGGCCAAGATATTTGACCTCCCCTAGTCAAATCTGAAGGGCCATCCCTCTGGATAGGACATAAAGAAATATTTCTTCCAATTGTGGATGGACAACGAGTTGTCCACTACTCTACCTGTCGGTCTGGAAGTAAAATAAGTCGGCCCTAGCTAGATGCTTCCTTAAGGCGAACAAACATCAGAAGATGTTCACGGTGATGTACAGACCTTGGAGGCGAGCAATCACCAGCACCGCTATGATCATCCTAATGGCGTTAGGAGCTAACTGACTAAGGGAGATGTTGTAGTAATTGAGGATCTCGGAAACGAGCTAAGGAATGGGGAATCGAAGGCCGAAGTGGAGGTAGTGCTTGTGCACACACACCTCCCCCTCGATTGGCTGCCACAGTTTGTCGTCGACGCTAGGGACTTTAATCCTATAGCCCCCAGGAGTGTGGTACATTTCAGCAATAACCCTCACTTGCTCCTTGCTGAGTTCACTGTCTAGGTCGGAGTGCGGATAGTGCATTAGCATTACACCTCGGCCTTCAGCCTCGGCTAGCTCCTCAAGGGTTGGATCCTCGACCTCCTCCTACTCCACCACTTTGGGATGTGCTAAGGCATTCCCTACGACGTCTCCCCTCGACCTTGTAGAGTCAGTACTTTCATAAGGAGATTCCCTACCCTGTCGGTTGCACTCGGTGCCTCTAGGGGAGGTCTTCTCCCTCAATACCTGGACTCCAGCTGCCCGAGGGAAGCTCTCAGATTCAGTGACAATGTCCTAATTGTTGGACGAGGTGGAGCATGGAGTGCTAGTGTTAGAGCGGTCAGGAAGGTCATAGCATTCGGGACCGGAGTCTGAGTATGACATGGTTACAGGAGTAGTCCTTTACCTAACAAGATGAGTTTGAGGAAGAAACTAAGGATTTGGTTGGTTGGTTGGTGGCTGAGGTCTATGGAAGCACAAGTAGAAGCGAGAAAATGGTAGGAAGCTACCTCAACTAGCGACTCTATTTAAAGGAAAATGTATGGTTCAGATCGCTTCAATCCAATGGCCGCGGAGTCGCTGACCTAGCAGCCCGAACCAACATGTGCCATGTGGCATTGACCTCGGGAATGCAAAACGATGTTGAAGACATTAGCCAGTCCGACCAACGAACCCAAGTCAAAAGCAACCTAAGCTGGGCGACCCATCGCCCATCTCGCTCACAGTCATGACCGATTGATGTCGACGCCCATCTTGTGTATGAATCCACAACGACGCTCGTATAGAGCACGACCGACGAACGTGGACGCCTCACACCCATGTCAAATATGGCCCCGTTCTCTCAGCTCACTACGATCCTCCAAAGAGGCGAGAAGTCAACAAGGAAGCAGTAACCACTAGATGACCAAGTAGATCTCTCGACAGCCGAGGTCGATGCTTCCGTGCCATTGTATTATGGTCTCTTCAACCAAGCCAAGGCCCTCACCTGATGCGCCATTCAATGCCTCCAGGAAGCATCATACTACTCTCTTTGGCCGAAGCTGAGGTCTCCATTCAACACACCGCTCGACCTCGACCACTACAACCTTGAGAGTGGGGGGAAAGTGATGTAGGGGCATATGGCAAAGTTCCAGATGGCGCCACATGGCATCGGCCAGATGAGATCTTGGTTGTTCACCTCTAACTGCCTCCAACCACTCCATGGCAAGGTCAAGTATAAAAGGGGGTGCCCTGTTTCAAGGTAAGGCCATCTAGTCTACTCTTACTCTCTAGCTTTCCTTCTCTTGAATGACATCATTTGAGCCATCGTCTCAAGCCTGGTCCAATCCCTCTCAAGCATTTGACTAACTTCATCGTTGGAATCTCCACCTTTGAGATAACACCTGAGGCCTCTCATATATACTCTCTTCTTTTTGGTCTTAGGTTGGACACATCAAGCTTCGGCCAGAAGCAAAGTTACCAGCATGTTGCCCTCGGCCCCATCCTAAGCAGCAACAAAATCAAATAAATAAATAAATGGATTTTAATATATTGGTAAGACAAGAAGATAAGACAAATGAATAGATGATAAGAATTGTGATTAAATAAACGAGTTCAATTCAACACATTGCCAATAGGCCATTGGTGTTATGTGCAAGATTGTGGCGTACAGGTCGGCAAACCTTCCACTTAAGTGGAGCCGTCGAGGCATGTGGAAATCGGAATCTTTGAAAGTGATCAGTGACTCAGTGTTACCTTCGTAGCAGCGACTCAGTGTGACTCGCTATGATTGGAAACGTCACTCGGCTCCCATGGAACGGGAACTGAGCCAAGTCAAACTTACCATTTTGCATTTTTCAAATAAATAAAGCTCAACAGTTTCTTGGTTGCTTGCTTTTCTTTCTAAAGTTAAATCTTTGGCTTCACAGAAACCAGCTGATTTGAGTTATGATTTCACATGAGGTGAGTCAATTTCGAGCCATGAGTTGACTGGCATAGTGGCATTTACTACTAATAAGGCAAAGTTTTATGAACAGGTTTTTTATGCATTCTCAGATCACCCAGTTAGAGCCTGTTTGGTTTGCAAGAATAGAGGTTTAAAATTGGAATCGGCCATTCCGATTTTAATTGTTTGGTTGACGGAATTGAAATTCTATTTCCATTGCTAGTGGTTGCCCCAACCTGTAGGAATTAAATCCCATTCCAACTAATTTTAATTTCCATTCCAATTCTTATCGGAATCAAACAGACTGTGAAAATACACCATTTTAATTTCAATTCTGAAAATTTTTAATTTTGATTCCAATTCCGACTATAAACCAAACGGACTCTTAATTGGTTGGAGTTCTAACTTCTAAATGAGTTGAGCTGAGTCTGAAGATGAAAAAACTTTAATGTGTCTTCTTAACTCAGTTGCAAACAAATAGTAAAAAACTATGTACAGCGGATAACTTCTCCACGGCAACTAGACAATGTGGGGCCTGAATAGCAATTAGAGACATGACTACTTACAGAGATGTGGCCACGTGGCATTGTCTCTTATGTAGAAAGTGGCATGGGCCCATCTTGATTGGAAGGGCCATAGAAATTAGATGGGCCATGGGCATAGTGGAGGCTCCAAATTATGGGAAAATTATTAGTTAATAGAATTGAATTAAATCATAACCCTAATAAGCCAAGAAAATTTTAATTTTGAAGAATCTCTTAATGCGTTGAATATTCTCAACCCTCAACGATTCCTGCTTAATTATTAAAATACTAAGCTGAAAAAGATGATCGAATCAGCCTTTCCCTCTATATATCACCCCACACAACCATCCACAAGGAATTCCATTTCCATTTCCATCAAGTGATCTCAAGGCAAACTCTTGAGTCCCCAACATGTTTCCTTCTTCCTCCTCAGCTGATCCTTCACAATTGATCCAAATTGTTCCAAGATATGTTCACTCAAGAAGATTGCTTCTACACAATTCCCATTACCAGTCACCGGGCAAGGCGCCGCCGCCGGCTGGCACGGCAAACGTCCTTGACTCATCAGACTCATCAGACCCCTACACCACCGGAAGTAGCTTGGATGCCAATGTAATAATGATCCTTTCAGTTCTTTTGTGTGCCTTGATTTGTGCACTGGGGCTAAATTCCATCATTAGGTGTGCATTGAGGTGGTCAAGCCGAGTCACCTCCAACACAACGAGCCAGAAGTTGGCCAACACAGGAGTCAAGAGGAAAGCCCTCAAGGCTTTCCCCACTCTAACATACTCAGCTGGGTTAGAGCTACCTGGCTTGGACTCGGCATGTGCTATATGCCTATCAGAGTTCTGTCCAGGGGAACGAGTCAGGATCCTACCCAAATGCAAGCATGGGTTTCACATCCGATGTATTGATAAATGGCTGAGTTCACACTCGTCATGCCCAACCTGTAGGCACTGCCTGATTGAAACGTGTCAGAAAATTGTTGGTTGCAACAGCCAAGTTAGCTCATCTGAGACGACGATGACAACGTCGCCGGAACCGGCATTCGCCGGAGGGATTGTCCCATTAGAACGTGAAGATTTTATACGTGGTCATCAGGGTATTTGTTAGTTGGTGCACTTTCAACAGTAGACCCATTCCTTGGAAGCTTTGCCTTAGTTTTTTTAAGACCTTCTGAATTTTGGGGCTACAAGGTGGGGACCCCAGTATCTTAGTCACCAGAGAAAAAGAGTGTGTACTAGTTGTAACTTGTACAATCTGAGAATGTGTGATTCCTTATGTCTGCTTCTTTCTTCCTTACTATATTACTCTTCAACAAATGGGGTTGGAGCAGGAAAAGAATCAACCAAGTAGGCAAAAAGGAAGAAATATGGTTTTTTTTTCCTTATCCAATGAAGGAAAAAATGAATGGAAGATGAGAGGGAAACCACTCAGAGCTTCAAATCAGTTGTACTAAAAAGTGGTATTTGTTACCTAGTAGTCACGTTTTAAAAAGTGGTATTTGTTACCTAGTAGTCACGTTGAGATTACTTTGAGCTGGTTGCTTCTGACTTAAAGTGGGAGCCAGAAATTATTTTCAGTGTGATAATTTAGTCTTAATTTGGTATTTTCAAATATATGTTTTACAGCCAAAAAGAAGGGTTGGCAATTTGATGTATGATATAATATGATGGATCAGAAATGACCATTGTTTATAATGGTAAAATCTTAGGCTGACAAGCGTTGTAATGGTGGGATTTTTATGATATCATGGATCAATAGAAACCAAAGTTCTCTATGCATTCCCTTTTTGGTTTATACATGGTTCAAAGTATCAGTACCATTGTTTTCAAAATCGGACCGGATTGGACGGTCGGACCAAAAAAACCAGGTTTGACCGGTTCCGTTTTTCTTCAAAATTGCTTTTTCTTTTAAAATCGTTGATTTTGGTTAATAAACCATTGAACCGGATGGTAAATTGTTCGAACCGTTTTGACCGTTTTTCAATTTTTTAATTTATTTTAATTTTTTTAATTTTTTTATTTTTTTGTCAGAACGGACTGGTCGTTCGGGTCGAACTGTCAGACCGTTCAAACCGGTAATCGAACCCCTGATCAATTCGGTCACCGGTTCGTTTTTAAAAACCATAATCAGTACACCCTGATATGCTGGATTGGGTGTATAAGTTATTTTGGTCGCACTCTTTACTTCTTTAGTTAGTTTTTTTTTTCAAAAATTGGTCATGGGGTGGTCTTAAGGCTTGCCTAACCCCTGAAATGGTGGGTCAAAAACCCAAAAACCCATAGTTAACGTATCAATGACCTAACCATATAATATGTATCAGTCGATACATTGCGAAATTTTGATCTTTAGAATCATGTAAGAATTATTCTCACATATCCAAACTTAAAAGTGGACCTTAGAAGCATTAAATTCATCACAATCAAATCTATATAAACATTGGTGATGCAGCGCGATCCGGACACTCCTATCTGGCGAAAACCTAGCTTCTATCTGGCGACAGACGGTACCTGAGAAGAAGAGGGAGGTGAAGAATTCTCGGGGAGCTCGCCCGGCAGGAACACTCCGATGCTTAAGTTAGAACTCTGAGAGAACTGTAGAGAACGCAAAGAAAGAGCTAAGAGTGCAGATGGCGCAAGTTCAGTACCTTTGCTCCTTGGGGATCGGGGTCATTTTATATTGAAGTTTTGTCAAATCAGGCGTAACCGCCTCCGCCGCAGCCGTTACTGCCAGAGCTGAGGAGGGGTATGGACCTATCAGGCGTGTCACATCTTTCAGAAATGGCAGGCACGACGCCACCTGACGGGGGACGTGGGCGTAGCCTCCAAATTCGGCAGGTACTGTTGTCAGGCAGATCTTTCTTGCAGGTTGCCGAGCTACTTTGCATCGAGCTACCTTACACCAAGGTGTTGGGGGTGCGCCGAGGTGCTTATGCTTGAAGCGGGCCTTAGGCAAGTATGGACATGAGTGTTAATGGCGCGGACCCAAAGTGGAAACACTTCGGGATACTTAGCCGTAGGTCGAGGTGTTCCCTTCTTAGGAAGAGCTTGGGGCTCAATGGGAGGAGCTCGGGTCCCCTTGCTGGGGGGAGGGGGGGGAGCTCGGTTCGCTCCACCCTTGGAGAGAATTCGGGGTGAACTGAATGTTATTTCTCGACGAGTTGCCTCGTTCGCCAAGCTGTCCGGCCGGACTCCAACGAGTTCGTTACGCCAAGTTATGGCCAAGCTATCACGTTGAATTGTCACTTATGCCAGGTCATGTCCACGTGTCTCCATGCTACGAGGTCGGGCCAAGTCAACCTCCATCAATTGACAAACTCAAACTTAGTAATGAAGTGGAATCCATCAAGGGTCTTCCACATGACAAGAAGGTGTAGGCCCAAAAGGGCCCCACATTTTCTTTTCTTCATCCTTTACTTACGTGGCAAATTTCAACCTAAAGCCCCTTGCCACTTGGCCAAACAAGTTATTTTCTGGCACTTGGGTCTTTACTATAAGAGCTGAGCTAGATTTGGACAATTCCAGTTTCTTTACTCTTGAGCTCTTTCTATGAACTCTCATATCCACAAGCTGGATTAATATTTTGACATGGAATTCATGGCTTCAGAAACCTTATCTTACAGGTCCAATTAAATATAGTAGAGAGAAGAACGCGTCTCAGAAGTAGATGACAAGGCAGAGGGATTTAAGGTTAAAAATACATCTCTATGTGCTCACAGCTCATTTAGACCTCCATAGGACTTGACACTTGAGATGGTCATCAGATTACTGTACCCAAGAAACAAAAAGTGTGAAATCTTCTACTAATTCCGTGTACCTTAATAACCCTTTTGAGTATATAATCAGAAAAGCATTACCAACTTCAACAACTCACCAATCCCCTTTCTCTCTTCTCTTGATCAGTGTGCATGATAACTCATAAAAAAAAACACTCAACTCTAGTCAAGTTTCATAGTCAGCAATCCAACAATATCACTACCCTTTCACTTTGCTGGGAGATGAGGTATGGCAATAACAAAACCCTTGGATTCCTCCAATGGTCAAGCCTAATTGTGCTGTAACAAGTTGTAGATTTTGATGTAAGCTCTACCTGACTCAAGTTGAAACGATTCCCACAACAGAGATTGGAGGACTGTAGAGTGGATCATATAATAAGATTGGATAGCAGATTCGTTTGAAAATGATCCAAGCAAGTAACAGAATCCTTGGTAGGAGGATTCTGTCTCATGGGTTTCGTTCGGTCAATGATAATGCATTCGTTCGGTTAAAATGACTATACACTTACTCATGTACCCGGGATTTAAGAACAATAATAATTAAGGTTCAAAGAATCGATACGTATTGGTCCGTATCGATTGATACGTATTGTTTTAAGACCCCACTGATACGCCCCTATAGTGGGTGTATCAGGGGTCTGATCGGTTCAGGAGATGGAGGAGACCTAAATTGGCCCTTTTGAACCGGTTTCAGAAAAAAAAAATATAAAAAAACTAAAAAAAATAGTATCGATTCATCCGATACACCCATATATCGGACGTATCAATATTTTGAACCTTAATACTAATATATTTGGCAACTGGGCTTCATCTCCTATTTAATAAAGGGATAAATTTATGGGCCATGGCCCACCTTGTATTCCCTTCGTCAAGGTCTAAAATGACGTAGATCCAAAGTTGGGAATCAGAGTGGTGGTACTTTGAGGGCTGTTCAGCATTATAAGAGACATTATTTTAGGCTTTTTAGCTTTTCTTTTCTGTGTTTTGTTTGTTTTTAAGGTAAATTATAGATACGCACCTTATACTTTGTGGATATTGACAGATAGGTACTCTGAACTTTCAAATGCAATACTTGATTACTCTAAATTCCCATAAATTGACATCCCAATTCGACTGTTAGTATCCTATCAGTTATGCATGTGAAGTTACATGTGACTCTAAAACATTCCAAAATCCCCCAAACTGCCCTTCTTCCTAAGTGTTTGTGATAAGCCTAATGATTAATAATAATAATAAAACATTAACCCATAACGTTTGATTGTACACCATACCATAACCTGGGTTAACGGTATTGGACCAGGGTATCTATTTTTAGAAATTTGAGGTACTTAAGTGTCACATTTAAAAGTTCAAGGTACCTATCTGTAATTTAACCTTTATTTTTAAAATAAACATGATAAAATTGAAATAAAGGGAAAAAAGTTGATTTCAAGGAGATATTTGATAATTCAATGAGAGATTCTTTTGTTGATAGGCATTTTGATTAATAAAGAGGTGTTGTTATTCCGACTTCTGTTTGATAAAAAATTCAACTCCACAAAATGGTACTTTTTATTAAATTATTTTAATCAAAAGTGTCATTAAACAATATAATTTATTAAATAATAAAAAATAACTAAAATTCTAATATAGATATCATATGACTATAGTTTACATGAACTGGATTTGATTAATGAGAAATATCAAACGAATATTGAACTTTGCTTATTGCAAGTGTATATGTAACTTTATGTCCTCCAATTGAGGGAGAAGAGAAATGCCGCAGTCATGGCTAAAGAGATGAACTCCCTTATTTTGGGCTACTACAAATCAGTCTTTTATTATTTTATTATAGATAGCTCTCTAATGACTAATAAATCAACTCTCAGCTACCTAACAATTATCTAAGTACTAATAAAAACTGAATAAAAAAGCCACAAGCACACTCAAGTTAAAGTTGATTAATCAAATGGTTAAAGTCACAAGTTGCGGCTCTAATCTAATCCATTCATACTTTCCTGGATGATTAAAATAGGCTAGGGTGCTAGACTAAACCATATACACCCATAGATTGGTCTGGCCGCATAACTTGAAACCAGTTTCATCTTTCAAGGGGTAGGACCAGAGGTGGGTCGTACTCCCATCTATGAGATTTGGATCAGATCAGCTTGGACAGATCAATATAGAACTAGATTAACCTGACCTTATTGCATTATAATAGATAAGTACAACTTAGGCTGATTTTTGGGAATGATCCAATGGCAACCCTTGCAACATGGACACGTGGTTAGAAATGGCAACAGGGCAGGGCGGGGACGGGGAGCCTCTCCCCATCCCTGTCCCCGCTAACAGGACAAGGTTATTTCCATCCCTATCCCCACAAGGATCTTCATTCTCCAAGATTTTTTATAATGTTAATTATTTTATTTTTATTTTTATTTCATTTAAAAAAATAAAAATAAAATAATTAAAATTTACAATTCTATCATATATACATTTATAACGTATGCATACATATATATATATATTAGTGGGGATCCCACGGGGTAGGGAGTGCTCTTCCCGTCCCCACCCTGTCCTCGCTAATGGGGATGAAAATTTCCCCATCCCTGTCCCCATGGAAGGAAAATCATCCCCATCTCTGCTCCATTCGAGGCATATCCCCATGGGAATCGGGAAAATGAGGAAAATTGTCATCCATACAACCTACTCATGGTAACCCTACAAATACAAACACTTCCACTAGTGACACCCGCAGCCCAACACGATTTTGAGCCAGCTTGGCCCGATGGTCCATGGGTCATGCCACAGGTTGACACGATTGTATGGGCCAATGGGGTTTCAGGTCAATGGGTCGGGCCAACACAGCCCGCACTATCATGCCATACCGTCTGTGGCCCACGGGCTGGCACGGTTTGACCTGACATGGCCCATATATATTTTATATATTTATATATAATATTATATAATTTATAATTATATAATAATATATAGTATATAATATATTAATAAAATAAATATTTTTTCAAATTTATTATACTATTTTATTTAATTATTATATATATATAAACAATTGTATACATCAAAATTCATATAAAATTAAAATTTTAAGTTTTTTTTTAATTTTGGCATGGTGCATAACTCGACCCATAAACCAGCCCAGCCTGACTTGGGCTCATGCGGGCTCAAGCCATTGGCCATATCAGGCCAAACCCCTAAAATATCCCAAGAGTGAGAGGCACGGCCAAGAACGGCCCGCAGGCCACACGCGGGCCATGCCGTACTGGCCAGCATAGCCCGTTTTACACCTCTAGACTCTAGTCCAGGGGCTTTTTATAAGGAATATGATTTGTGAGGAGGAACTCTTGGATATATCTGCAGACAAAGTGAGACCCAACACCCAAGGACCCAAGTTCAAAATATCACTACTTATTAGTAAGTATCCATTGATACGTATCAATTTTTAAAGCCATCGATACCCTAAATACAGGGAGTTTGGACATCTGGCCACTATTGAAGGACAACATCCTATTTAAAAATTCTGCGCATCGTTCATTTGAATCGTACAACAAACCATATTTGTAACCTTAGTGAAACCCAATGTTTGGGAAGTGTACAATGTACAAATACAAATACGCAGAGTGCAAATACAAGGTTTTGTCCTGTACATAATGTCTGAAAATCACATTTTTGATCTGCCTATCTCAGCAAATGTGCCTCTAACTGTCATCTAAGGGACGGAGGGAACGTTTTCTACCTTGGTTTATACAAGAGAGCTCTCCAATCTCCATTGTGCTTTCCAGCTCAATCAAGATTTCTCTGATTTTAGACCTCTCAGCAAGTTGGAAACCGTAGAGACAATGGGAAGAGCAAACCCCCCAAGCTACCCCAATGGGGGAGTATGAACATGGTTAATGACTTGATGGCAAGCACAGTTGGTTTTGTGATCTGAATCCAAGGCATGCATGTCTCCATGATATAATTCTACAATTAAAGATTGCGTCATAAAGTATAAACAGCCCAATCCCATAATCCCATTGAGCACAGACTCTCTTGAACCACAATGCAATGGCTAATTGCTGTCATGATCACTTGGAACTTTAGCTACTACATTATTTGTTAGCATATCATTAACCCCCCATATTTATAGCTCTCAAGTCTCAACATTAACAAAAAACCAAAGTGAATTAAATCAAATTAGAATCCTCTTTTATTTTGTCCATCTTGGAATCTTCACTGTTCACCCAAAAATAACTTGTGGCTTTCAACATTATCAGAAAACCAACATCAACTAAGTGCACTTCAACCCTCTTTTATTTCTCTAACTTGAAATCTTCACTGTTCAAAAAATGTCATGGTTGATCGGTTGGTGAGGACTAGCACCATACGAGTATGGCTAGTTTTGAGTACAAAAGAAATTAAAATGTTGGGAAGTAATGAAACACTAGATGAGAATAAGGTGCTCATAAAACTCCACTTCTCAGTTACTTGAGTTTCACAAATAGCTTTGATGCAACCTGTTTTTCGAGAAAGCAGTTTTAGAAGAAAAGCCAGACTAGGATATTACTAAACCAACCATGTCAACAACAAAGACTTACACATTTGTCAACACATGACCAATAGTCGAAGTATTGTCCTGTGCAGTGTTTATGACCAGTTTCATCTCCTTGAATCCTCTTAACACATGCCTGTAATAATAGACACAATTTCAGTATGACAACAATTGATGGATACCTCCATTAATAGGACTTTTATTTATATAGAAGTAGGTATACAACCATGAAAAATAGAGATATTTAAAAAAGAAAAAAACATGACAACGTCGCATGCCTATATTATACCATTAATTAATGCTAACAGGTGGCTATGATTAAGACTAAGAAAGACAGAAAGTGGATGTCATAAGTGTTACTAAATGTCTCAGACCATAGATGGTGTGCCCAATATTTTATTTAAGTCATAACTCATGACACTAAAAAATATTGAAATACTACAAGCATTTATTACTATAAAGCAACGAAGTATATATGTTTGGCATCGATGCTGCAGTTGCAGCAGAAGTGTGGCTTGTAGGGTGCCTTTATTTTTGTTTGGAATCGTTGCTGTCAAGTAGGACGTTTACTGGATCAACAGTAACTTTTTCTGTTTGGCACCATTGTTCCAGGAAACGTTTTCAACACTGGTACCCATTATCCAGTGCTGCATCACTGCCCTGTTGGCAGCAACAAGCTGCAGCTCCAGGAAATGCCAATTTTGGCATTGCTAGCTTGGAGCACCATTTTTTATGGAAAATCGGTTCCAAAAAAATTCTCGTTTCCTGGAGCACCATTTTTTCCGACGTGGCGCTGATGTGGCACCATTGCTCCAGCAAACGGCAACGATGCCAAACAGCTCCTAAAGCAAATTAAAGATACGAAGTGGGCCAGGTTCAAGCAAAGTCCAAGTGTCCAACTGATCCAACCCTAATCCGGTCAGTTGACTTGGGTCAAGGTTTTTTGTATCCTAGCCTCCTAGGTCCCAAAGGGCAGCTAGCAACAAGTGATGTGTCCAATTAGTTTTTTCCTTTTGCTTTTGGACAAAATATGCCCTCGAACTCGATTAAGTATATCGAAGATGTAACAGTAAAAGGTAAGAACATTTTTGCCAATTTTGTGCCCTTCATGTCTGATCAAAAATTTGTTCCACTCATATAATATTTGTCCAGTAAATGGCCCAACTTTGGAATTACTAGGATTGCAAGAATACGTGCTACCTTGTCAAATATACATGATCACAGCTCGAAACATCACCAAGCATAAGATGCAAGAAATAGAGATAGGGAAATGCCTTTTTTCAGATCATTCTAACAGGATATTAGCAAGGTGAGATTTTGAGATAGACTGGTAAGACTAGAAATGATAGAAATAGAAACAAATATATTCATTGGAATGAAGGGTAGTTCCAATCTTTGACAATGAAATTAAGCTCAAGTCAGAGCAACACCTCACATCTCACAACACAGTATTTGATCTATCTAGCAGGAGCAAACACCTTTTGGTTGTTAGATTAGTCATTTGTCAAAATTGTTAAAAAAAATCATGTAGCATCCAAGGTCCTGGAATTTGCAAATGTAGGCATGGTATATTAAATTATCAATTCATGTCATATATGATATTAACAAAACCTGTGGCTACTCCACTAGAAAAGTTCATAATACAAATGCTGTATTAATGGAGCTGGAAACCTGAAGACCTTTTGAAATGGTATGCCGTAAGCAATCAATGTATTCCCAAAATTGAATTAGGAGAATCTCAAACTCCGAACATAGGCAACTCATCCAATCATATTATAAAAATAGCGAGCAATTTGGGATGATTGGGAAGAGTTAGGGACAATACAAGCCCCCTGAAAATGGATCAACAGGCCAACCCATACCAGCCCATTTTAAACCCGACTACAACTCAAATTTGCTCCAGCCTAGTTGGTGTGGGCTAGCTCTGCACTTGTGCTCATTTTTTGGCTTCTCAATGTGAGTACAGAGAAAACAAAGCATAATTACAGCTTCAGGTTTGGCTGAGATGGGCCCAGATTGGGTTGGGCTAACCAAGGTCACAGTCCAAGCCCAACCATATCTGGTACCATACCAGACATCAAGGCCCAGGTTCACCCCACAGCCCTAAAACTCCAGCCCAAACCCAAGCACCCTAGGTTTGGCCTGGGCCAGCCCAGGCCATAATTGGAGTCTGTCAGGGTGCACACCCAACTGCACACTCTCGTACACCACACCACATCACACTGCACAACTTCACATATCACTCCACCACATCATTTGCACATGCCGTGGGCCCCATGCCCACCACACCAACATTAACTCATGGTGTTCAACCATGATGGAGTGGACACAATGCAGCTGATCACCTTCTGTATACTTCCCAACCCGTGATAGATATTGAGCCTTGGTGTTCTTGATCATCTCAACCATACACCCTTTTAGTACCTCTTTGGTGGATGACCCTAAACTCATTTCATTTGCGGGTGTGAACCATGGAGGATGCTAAGAAGCAGAAACATTATGGTCCTCATGTTTGGAACATTTGAAGATCAAATGAACTAGAAGTACCTGATATTCAAGTAAAGATTTCACGCACTTTGGCTTGCAAGATTCCTCAAGATACTTTTTCTGATCAATAAGTTCCTCATCTGCCCTGAATTGGAAAAAGAGAAATTAACAACAAATAGTCAGTAAAAGCTTAGGATAAGAAAAAAAAGGTTTAACTGATAAAAACATGATAAATCAAAATGACTAGAATGCAGACAAAGGGAAACCAGATGAAAAAGCAGGAAGTCTACCACCAAAATCACTGTTATCATCATCTGCCTAATTCCACATATAAGGGACAATAATGCATTATTCTGCTCCTCAATTAAATTATGCCTAAGGGAAATATATTCTTATAAAAAAAGAGCCAATAAATATTTCCCCCATACACAAACTCAAGACCATTTTGGTCTCTTCCGTTATCTTTTTAGAACCTTAAGCTTGAATACAAACACTCCTTACAAATAACTTCATTAGCTTCATTTCACAACTAGATACTAGACCATCTAGATATACCCTCTCTTACCTTGTTGCCAAATGATGCTACCCCTATTTCCCATGAATATGCTCATTCCTGATTTAATCCATACCACTCATCCCAGTTTTGTCAAACTAAATCAGATTGAACAGTAAAAACTGGTGAACCAGTGAGAAGTGAGCTCCCCTTGTCCCAGATTTTACAGGCCGAAGGATTGAATGACCAGTTAAACTGTTAAAACCCTCACCAGTGAGCTTTCTGGTTTTATATCCAGTCTGGTACTAACAACATTGATTCATCCATCTGAATACTCTAGTGTTCCCAGATTATGAATGTCTTGTATACCTGATTGCCCAACATTCTGCTCCAAAACATGGCCATTCATATAACTACCCTATAAAATTTTCTTCAGACTGAAAATAGTATGTATCAATTGCATAATATCCACTCAGCTCTAACACCTAGACAACATACACCTCTTCATGGACATTACTCTAAGATATTGGAAATGATTGACTTGAGATATCTCTTAGCACCTCAATCTTAATTATACCTTCTTCACAGTTCATATTCACTAAATTGCACTTCACATATTATTGTCCCAATTAGCATATGCGGAACCTGAGAATCTCAAGCATCTACCCCATGTTGTTGTTGGTGACTTGGTGCATCCTTTTTCCTTGTATTGTACCCAAAACAAAAAAGCATTAGACAGATATAAACAGTAGCACTAGATTGTGGAATTCCTCGGTGGAGAAAAAAATCAACAAATTATATTTCCACAAAACAAGTAGACAGACCAGAAGACAGGAAGAAGGAACAATGTTCATGTATTTCTAAGCATTGCATGTTCTGTTCAGTTCATCCACCATTTGACAGAACCCCTCTTTCAGCTAGCATTATGCATCCTCATTCTTCTTAATAGTTAATACAAGACACCAGCCATCAAAAAGAGAAGAAAAACAAGAACTCCCCCTTCCTCCTCTTCCTCCCCTTCAAGAGGACTATGCCTCCTTGTGCCCGGAAGGCTTATGCCTCTTGCATTCTGAAATCTGAACTATGCCTCGCATCTCCAGGTAAATGGTATGCCTCCCATCATGCCTCCACATTTTAAAACAATGCTTTATGGTGCATACTATTTATGGACCAAAATATGGATTCTATTTTCCATTGATGACTTTCAGTAAGTGAGAAAGAGGATTATCTAACAGAATTGACTCGTGTTTTTTTTTTCGATCAATAGAATTGACTCTTGCGTTGAAGAAGTTCCAATTTTCAAGAAATAATGTTTAAATCAATAGCATAGATATAAATAGCTATTTACTCCAGACAATTAATATAGAAGTTAATAATAAAAAACATAACATAGAGGTTAGGATGCTAACTAGAACTTAGAACAGTAATCATAATAAGTAATTGATGACCCATTATGAGCTAATAAAATGTCAGACAAGAGTCAAAAGACCATGTATATCAAGATAATAAAGATTCATTAATCCCTACCAATTGAAAATTTATTTATTAAATTTGGAGAAGCCTAATTGGGCAACTTATCTCTTAACTCCATGACAAGATGTGATCATTTCTCTAACTGGGCAATAATGAGTTTGGGAATAGGTAGACCACATCATGTCATTTCCTTAATTCTCTGTTAGTTCCTTAAAAGTGTGATGATCCTAAAGCCATGGATTCAAACCCAAACCACAAACTAGTCAACAATGCATATGATTGTAGTGTACCATGAAAGAAGATAACGATAGAACAATGAAATTCTAAATGTCAGAAAATAGCACCATCCCCATCAATTCTGAATTACCAAGAAATAGCTCAGAATTAAGGTAAAGGTGTCGGATAATTCAATGAATATACAACACAATGTACAAATAACAGATATGTGCAGCCAAAGAAAAGTAAAAATTCAGGGATAATGCACATTACAAGCATCTGTGTAAGTAAAGCATTAAAAATTAGAAATAAAACCCAGTTACCCACATGATGAATGATATTAGATGAGCAACAACTCAATGAAACAGGTCTGTCGGTTTTGCCTGCACAAAGAAAGGAAAAGAGATGAAAACTTACACATCAGAAAAGTCAACCATCAGATACATCAAATCCAAAACAAATATTTGCACCCAGGAATATATCTGGTTGTAACCTTTACTGAGTAATCAATATGTTCATTATTACATACTTTGATATAGAAGTATGCATGACATATAAGCAGTCATAACAAAAATGGAAAACAAGACTAGTCTTAAAGTGTTCACAGTTCACTCCTTGTATCCTTAACAGTGTCAAGTCCCAGTGATTTCTGACATGAAGTGGATCAAAACTAAGAAAAAAATGCACAAACAACTCAGTGGAATAGTACCATTGCTCTTGCTTTTTTGTTATTATCACAATGATAATGTATGGAGTCATTTATTTGCTCTGTTTGGGAAAAAATGGGTTGCACCACGGAATATTATGGAATTGTTCTCACAAGACATCTTGGGGTGCTGCACAAAATGAATGAAACTATCATGGCACTGTACATAGTTTTCAAGGCACCAAGGCGAGGCTAGGCGATGGGGGCGCCTTGTCGCCAAGTCACCTAGGCATCTCCTAGGCGCTAGGCGATGGATTTTTTTAAGTAAAAGCATGCATCCTAGGGTAGTTCCCTAGGTTCCATACTCATATTTCCTTAATAAATATCCATAATTTTCATAAGAAAAGTATAATCTTTATGTTAAAGTATAGAAAATCAATATATATATATATATATATATATATTTTGATCAATAATAGAAAATCAATATATTCATGAGAAGAAAAAGAAGAAAGAAAAGAAAATTCAAAAAATATAGGGGCTGAACCCCTATTTCTGTTATAGGAAAAGAAGAAAAGAAAAGGTGGACGAAGAAGAAGAAGAAATTAGTATATACACACACAAAATTAGTAAAGAAAAGAAGAAAATGTGTTGATTGGACAACATTCTAAGTTCTTCCTTACTTATTGGTTCAGGTTTTGAAGTCTTTGAGGGTTCAATACAGCATTTAGCAATGTTTGTGTTGATTAAACCCTAATAAATAAGAAAATAATAAAAAGAAATTAGTAATATAAACACACAAAATGAATATTTTAGTTTAAAAATGTCTATTTTATAATTATAACCTCAAAAAATTAAGAATATAAAAGTTTTTTATAACATGCTATAGAAAACTGCTTGGCGATTAGGCGAGCCTCCAAGGGCACCTTGTCGCCTAGGCATTGCCTTGACAACTATGGCACTGTACAAGGGTTGCAGTAATATGGAACATTTGGGGGAAGATAAATGTAAGGGTGTTTGAAAACAAAGAACAAGATGCGGGAGGCTTAACAGAATTAATCAAAGTAGGGACTTCTCACTGGATTTTAACTTGTGAAAAGTTCCATGGTGTAAAGACGGATGATCTATTAAGAGGCTGGGAGCTTGGGACATCATTGCCAATGTGTCAAGCAGAAAACACGGAGGTTAATTAGTTGGCAGCCCCCTGAGACAGGCAGATTGAAGCTTAATTTTGACAGTTGTTGCTTAGACAATCCTGGTGAGTCTGGTATGGGAGGGGTGGTAAGGGATGATAGAGGGCATCATTATGATAGCTTCCCAAGTGCTGTGGGTTATAAAAACTCTTAGAGAGCAGAGATGAAAACTGTAATTCAAGGTACAAAGTTGTTGGCATAGCAGAGTTGTAGGAATGTTCTAATTGAAGGGGATTGCCAAGTTGTTATCTCTTGGCTTAATGCTGAAGAGAAACCACAATGAATGTTTAGAGCTTTGGTTAGGGAAACCAAATCCATTGAAAGTAATTGAATTGCTCATTCAGATGGATCCCTGGATCAGCTAACACCCAGGCTGATAGCTTAGCTAGAGCAGGACTGCAGGAGTGATGGCACAAGAATGTATGTGGGGAATGCCAAGGCCTGGGGTGCAACTGTAAATTGAAAGTTTTATTTTTATGCATTTGTGTATGGTCAGCTTAAGGCTTAAGCTGTTTATATGTATTACCCCTGATGTCGAGCCTGGACGTGCATGGGTGTTTCTTTTAAGGCAGATAATATAATACCACTGTAAGAAGTTATGACGGTGACAATGGGCTTATAGGCTTATGGTAATGATGGTGATAATGATAATGCCAATAACAATGGCAACGAGAAGCCATATACTTCATTATGAACTGATTCAGAAGGTTCATGATTATGCACAAATGAAAGTTATCATCAAATTATGACGTACTAATGAGTTATTATCGATTTATTATGTGATAATGAGCTACCATCAAAATGCAGACACACAAGCGAGAAATAATCTCAAGTGACTTCAGGACTAACGCTTGATAGGTAATCCGTGTATCCACTGACTCACAATCCATCAATAATACCAACAAAAATAAAGCAAAATAGTTCCTTCTAAAAAGTTCCCACAATCTAATTACTAATTTCTCTAACTATGCTATCCTCTCCTAATCCATATCAAGCTTTGATGGCGTTTTCTTCACTGATGTTGACACGCTAACTCTCCTCCCAGACCCAAAGGTTGCATCATGAATAATCAGATAAGAAATGAAAATCCAAGCAAGAAAATCTAAACGATTTAACAGAGATTGAGCCACAGAAATGGGAAAATAAAAACTATACTGATTTCAAAACCCTTTTTTGCAGATCGAAACAGAAAAGAACAGAGATATTTGGTCGTATGAGCTTTGACCCAATTACAAGAAAAAATTGCAGGGAAGTTTCTGAGTGAATTAATGGAAAAATGGAAAAATGGAAAAATGAAGAAGAAAAACTATCACCTTTTGATCCGAAGCTTGATACCGGCCGTTTGTGGGCTTCAGATTTGCAGGACTCAGACTACTAGAAACGCGAGAGTATTAAGGGTGCGTTTCCTCACCTTGGACGATAATGACGTAGGGTAGTGATGGTTTGGCATACTCCTTAAAAGGGCTGGAACCGTTGGATTGGAACTTTTCAATCAGGAGCTAATTAGAATGCATTTTGACTTCGCCCACAAAAGAGAAAAGACTCCAACTTCCAAGCTTTCAGTCATTCCGTACCAATTCTTTTGAGCCGGAAGGGGACGGTTCATTTTCCTGATTTATCCAGCGGTTCAACCCCTAAATTAGGGATGGGTTTGTAAATTCTAGATCTTACCTTTCTATCTAAGTATCTAGATGTCCCTCCCTCACCCTATCCTCCTTGCATTTGAGGGTGAAGTGGGTTAGGTTAGCAAGTTGAGTTTAGAACCTGCATCTAAGGCTCCGTTTGGTTCATCGGAATAGGGGTTTGGAATTGGAATCGGAATGAGTTATTCCAGTTCCAACTGTTTAGTTGAACGGAATTGGAATCCCATTCCCATTCTTATTAGAATGGATTCCCCCATTTGAGAGAATGGTCATTTCCTGTCCCTCCCTTGGGAATGAAATCTCATTCTGTTGATTCCAATTCCTATTCGCATTTCTATTTAAATCAAACAGACTATGGGAATATACCATTCTGATTCTAGAGGATTTTGATTCTAATTCAGATTCTGGTTATAAACCAAATGACCCTAATTTCCTATTATTTCTTGTTATATATAAGCAATAAACAATTAAGTAATATGAACAAATATAAATATTTTTAATTATTTGATTAAAACAAATGAAACAACACATAAACTATTAATTATTCTTCACATAAAATTCAACACCCTCAACATCTAATAGATGAATTCACATGCCTCAACGGGCGGGGTCGGTTTAACCTAATAGTGTACCTTAACCATACCCATACGACTTGCAAAATCCCAAACTCATACTTGCCTTAAAATTTGTTTTCAAGCAAAAGAACCTGCTGCATTGAGGTGAATAGGGGTGGGTACCTGTCAAGGTAAGTTAGAAATTTACATCCCTACCAAAAATCATCATCCTTCTTACTCGAATTCTCCGTTTTCATTGAGGGTCAGTTTAGAAAGTGTACAAATACAAATATATAGAATGAAAACTTGTAATTTGTATTATGGGAAAATTAGTACCCTTCACTTTATATATATAGCATCTAAACTTCTCTACCAGTTTATAATAGAAGACTGAAAAGCGAAATGTTATAGACCTCGATAGAAGACTGAAGCAGGAGAAGGTGGTGGTGGCACCGGAGCCGACGCCTCGCCGCTACCACCATCATCCACGCCGTGTGTCAGCTCCGACAATAAACTGCCAGATACGGCTGATGCCTCGTCACCTAGCAGCATCGCCACAACCTCCTTCATTGTCGGCCGATGCTGAGGTTTCGGTCTTCCGGATGGCAACAGGCCATCCCAATCCACCATTCTCTCCATGTCCTCTACCGTATACTCACCAACAATCCTTGAATCCCCCGCTTCATGAAGCTTTCCTTCCGTATAGAGGGTCATCCTCCGACCACGTCTTTATCGGCCTTCATCCGCACAGCACCACACGAAAACTGTAAACGTCGCTTGTCGGTGCTACCACATTCGCCTGCTCCGACGCAAGGTACCCCAGCATACCCACCACTCTGGTTGTCTTTGCCTCTTGCCCGTGCTGATACAGCTTCGCCAATCCAAAGTCACTCAGCAGATCTCTCATTTCTGAGTCTAGTGACACGTTGCTGGACTTGATGTCCCTGTGGAGCACCACCCGGTCCCATCCTTGGAGCAGGTAGTTCAAGCCGTCCGCTACGTCCATCAGCACCCTGCGCCGTTCATCCCACCCCGTCACCTGCTTTCGCTTGTCGAAGATCCAATGACTAAGGCTGCCGTTGGGTATGAGCTCGTTGCCTTAATTTCCTGCACCACCCTCTCATTTGGACCAGGTTTTTGTGTTTCTTAAGAAATCTAACAACAGAATCGACGAAACATAGTCCTCGGTGTCTGCACTCCAAGAATAGTTCATCCACCAAACTGAGACTGAACAGGGTACTAATTACAGGATCCAGTCCCAATTTAACCACCTCAAAGACTTCAAACTCAAAGCATTGTTTGGAATGGAGCATCACCAAAGACTACATTTTGCAAATTAAATCTCTGACTTTTCCTCTTTTGTATCCCCCCCTTTCCTCTGGCTTTATTTTGCAGTGTAAATCTAAATCAGATACAAATTTTGCACTTGGATTCAGCTTTGCGTCTATCTGTTTGTGACTATGATTTACAATTCTATTTGGTGCAGAATTTGCATTTTTTCTTTCATTTACATTAATAAGCGGTCTAAATTTTGCATATGAAAAAACTGGTGCAAATTTTTGCACCACCTTCTTCCTTCAACCTTAGTTTTCCATCATATAAAGTGGGGGCCAAGGCATTGTGCCTACTACATTATTCCCCCAAACAAGTAACTTTTCCTTCTTTTTTTTCTCACGCTCCAAAACTAATAACCTTGCTTATTCCATCTTTCACATTAAGTGGAGATTATCATTCACTTCTTAATCTTACTTCTCAAAAAACAAACAAAATAAAGTCAAATCTGAAGCGAGAATTAAACTAGAATTTACCCCGAGTCCATTTGCATTCAGGTGCATTTATATTAGTGCAAAGCCTCTCTCTTTCTTTCGCTTTTCACCCTACTCAAGGGGAGGGGGCATTGCAAGTGGGCCCCATATGAAAAACTCAAAAACTATGTTTGGTGAAAAAACCAGAAAACCAGAATATTCGTTGGTCAAGATAGTAAATCAACTTAACTTTCTGGTAAAATTAGTATTAATTGGTTCTTTAAAGCGGTTCAATTAATGTAGCTTAATCAAAGTTACTCCCAAACGGGTTCTAAGAATTGGTCCCAGCATTTAAATCCCACCAGACCACCAATGACCCCCATTATAAGGCATTAAGTCTAGACCAGTCCTCTGATCTGCATCTGCATGTGGGCATTGTGTCTGCAAGTCTGAAGCTCTCATCCATCTTCTTTTAGGCTGTGTTTGGTTCGAAAGAAAAAGGTAGAGAAAAGAAGAAACGGTAGGGAAAGGAGTCCTTCCCATTTCTTTTTGGCTTCTTCTTTCAAACCAAACATAGCCTTTAAATCAATAGTCTACCTTCCTAGACTAGTCCGATAATTAGTTAGATGAAATAGATCAATGTAAGTGATATGTGTTGAGATGGTTTGCTGTGGGAAGATTAGAAGGAAGAACCCCTCTTAGTATACTACTAATATACATACCACAACTTATAAGGATGTTCATGGAACCCGAAAGTTTTTGACACCTGATTTGAGTTCTGATCGATCCAATTACTTCAGACTCAGTTTAGGAGTACAAATAAAAATATATACAGTATAAATACATATAAAATAATATAAAATACAAAGTTTTTCACTCTACTCCCTCCAAACTGAACTTTTGATTCAAATGATCTGTCTTTCGGATGCAGATTTGAACCTCTCCAATTTAATTGAATTATAAGGCTGATTAAATTTTATAAACTTATTATATAAAGTTTGTAATTGATAATCAGTAATATAAATATAGAATGTTCTCATTCATAGAGAAAAGGGAACAAATGTACTAATTTACTTATAGATGAGGCTAGATATGCAATTCAGGTTGGCCCAAATTAGCATTTTAAAGTTCTAAATGAGACAACTTAGGATAGCAAATTTTGACAAAAACCCAACTCAAATCCATCCAAGTTGCACTCTAAGGAAAGACCCAACTTTTTCTTTTCTGCATTTCAGATAATAGTTGAATTGTTGCATATTTGCAGCTGTTTTGGAAGGAGTGCAAATACAAATATGTACAGCACAAATACATACAAAATAATATAAACTGTGAGATTTTATACTCTACAAATTTGTATTTATACTCCTTCCAAACTGAGCCTTAAGGATAATCATATTAATATTCCCACTCTACACATCCTTGTAATTAATGTTTTTGGGACCGCCCCTCCGCTTCAAGTAAAATTTGGGATTTTAAAAATTGATAAATTCAGTACATAATTTAAAAAGTGTATTTTTAATTTTTAGTCTTTTTTTTTTAATTTTAGAGATGATGAAGTTGAATCCCACCTGAGAATCAAATGTTTGATTCATCCCTCAGAGAGTTAGGGTTCGGGCCTACTAAAAATTTGTTTAAATTCTCAACCCCCACATCTGAATTGCACCCCTAGACAAAATGGCTGGTTATGACTGGCATGGTGTAGAGAGAAATGATGACGAAGACGACAATGATGGTAAAAAGGATAAATGAATGACACAACACAAGGGTCTAAGCCCCAATTTTAGGCTTTATGTTTTGGGGCTTAAAATTATTCTAATTTTAAATTATTATGTAAAAGTAATTCTTACCAAATATTCAAAACACTTTTAACTTATTTTTATTCTCCTCAACCGAAAGTTCAAAAGCAAAAACTCATCCAAACAGAGACCAAATAATATGGTTTTACAATTGGTCCTATGAGATATATGAGTTTATAATTATAATATCCATTTCCCTACTCAAGACAGTGTTACATTACAGATAGGGGTGGATTCGAGCTGAATCGAGCCGAATATTTGGCTATTTAAGCTCGGCTCGCCAAACTAGTATTAGGCCCAAGCTTGATTTGAGGTAGAGACTTGAGGTCAAATTCAACTTGGCTCAAAAACTTGCAAGTTCGAGCTCAGCTCAACTCAAGCTTGACTATGACTCAAGTTTCCTATAAAAAATAAAATTACAAATATAAAATTTATTTTTTATTTTAAATACAAATTTAAGAATTATAAAAATTATTTATTGTCATACATATAAAAATAAAAATATTATATATAATATTTATTATATACATATAATTTTTTTATATTTTACATATATACAAAAAGATAAGAATTATAAAAATTATTTATTATATTTATGTATGTTAGGCTCGATTAAGCTCGCAAACCTCACGAACCGAGCTCCATTGGGCTCAAGCTCGGCTCAATTAACAAATAAACCTATA